TTTATTTTATCAGTTATTTATAAAAACAACCTATTTTGAGCATTAAAAAGTTAACCATGTACTTTCTGGAGTTGATGCTGTCTCGCAACTTTTGAACAGCTTTCTTTTCTTTTTTCTTAAAGTCCTTTACCACATCCATATTCTACTGAGCTCTGATGTTCTTGATATAGTCAATAAAAATTCCTTAGGAAAAGTGGTATCTTTTGCTAGTTCAAAGGTTTAAAGCATCAAGTTCATGTTCACAAGTTGACACCTTTCAGAAAAGTTACTGCCCGTTTTTTGTTTTTTTTTTTTACCCACCATTTCCAACAGAGCCAGCTTTGTTTTGTCTTCAGGTATAAATGCAGGGTAGAGAGTGGGAATCTCTGTGGCCCAGATGATGATCTAAGGTTTCTGGGTAGAATGAATCATTTCCTACCTTACAACCTTCAAATTTCAGTCTCAAAACACTGAATAATTCAAGTCAAGATAGCAGATGAGCTCTCTAATTAGAGAAACATACTGGGATTGAGAGATACAGTGGAGTTTCAAATAGAGATTGATCCTATCTGGTTCACCTGTAGAGATAAAATATGCCAGTTTTCTTCTGCGGTGAATCAGGTCACCTATCAGGACATGTCTGAATGACATTCTCAGCCATTCTCTAATTTCCAAGGTGAACTGCTAAGTCAGTTTCCAGTACTGGTATCTTCAGCCCTGTGCTGTTTTTGTTTGTTTGCTTTCGTCTGAAGGGCTTTCCGTGGTGTTTCTACAGGAGAAAAAGACAACTGAATTAGGGAGAGTGCATTGTAATGGGAAATAGTCATTTATATATTCAGCAAATACTTATTTAAGTAGTCAAGCAGGGTGACTAAGGGCATAAACTCTAAACCTAGCCATTATGGGTTAAAGGGCTAGATTCACTGTGTGACCTTAGGCAAGCTTACTTCACCTAAGTGCCTCAGTTTCATCACCTGTAAAATGGATATAATGGTAGCACACAACATCATAGCTTTGTGAGAATATTAAAAACATGAATACATGTAAACTGCCTGGCTTACAGTAAGAACTCAAATATGAAATATAATTATTAAATGTTATCATGTCTTTAGGAATCTGAGTTTAGTACCACTAATTTAACTGGGAGGAAAACATTCTCAGCAAAGAGTAAGATAAAAGGGCTTCTTTTTTTCTGAGGGTGGCTCTATTCTAAAACACTGTAGGCTAATACTTAATTTTAGTGGGAATTACAGCAAGCACATATTTCCGGGAGGAATACACTGATGTGTGTTGATTTTTAGTTACCTGAGAGATGTCTATTTCATGTCACTGTGCCCTGATATTGTAATAGGAAGTGACTAGCCACAATTTTTAACCAAATTTCCTGATCTTTGTCTATTGGCAAGCTGTGAGTCATGACTGAACTGATGGTGTGAAGATCAATGTCTATGATTATAAACTCAGGAAATAAAGACATTACCTCTAGACTAGGATATTTTAGGTGAACCTTCAGGTCAACAGTCTGCACAACCCGGTGTGGGTCAGTACTTCAAAAAGATTTAAATTATCTGTTCATTGCCCTGTCTTTCCCCAGACATACCAACATAGGTAGATGGCACTGGGGAAGAAATGATTCTATGTTACAAGAATCCTACTGCTTCTAGTATTTATAACCTAATGTTTCAAACTGACTACACAGGATAAGTATCTCCTTCTGCCTAACAAAGATATTTAGCTTTGTGTAATGTTTACCTGAGAAATTGTAATTAGTTCATCATCACAGCCTGTTCTAATGGATATGTCACAGTTAAATTCAGCTAACTTTATGTTCTGCTTTTTTTTATACTTTTGATAATATTAATGCAATAAGAATGAGATAATATGCTGCACAAGGATTATATCTGATTTCTGACAATTATATAGTACATTTAAAATGTGTATTTTATGATTCTTAATCTTTGGATGGAAAATACATTACATCTGAAGGTTTTTAAAAATACTTCTCCGTCTTGCATTTTTCCTTCATTTGAGGCAGCACACTTCAACTATAAAGTATGTAACGGTGTCTGTTTTAGCCAAAAAAAAAAAAAATCTCACCTTTTGGAGCTATAAAATATACAGAATTGAAAGCTGACACCTAATATATTTTTCATTAGATACAGATGTTCAATGTAAATTCTTTCTTCAAGTATTCATGAAAATCAGGATGACTAAAAATTTTCAGGTATAATGCATAAAAGTAAAAACCATACCTTTTGGTAAATTGATAATAACTTTTAAGTTAAAGACATTTTCTTTTTATAATTTATAAATTCTTGTAAATATTATAATTATCTTGTCACTTAACATTATGAGTAGAATCTTTAAATTGCCATGAAGCTTAATGAAATAAGAATACTTGAAGACCTCATGCAAATGTGGAAAATCTTGAAACTAACATACATGCATTCAACATTTTTTAATGTTTAGCTTTCTGACCTTGAAATTTAATTAACTTTGAAAATATTTCTAATATTTATTTTTTATTCTTATTTGCAGAATAACTTTCATATGTTAGAAAATGCACACCCATATGGTGAATGCATGGTACCACCTCTGTTGTGTTAGCTTTTTATATCTTGAGGCTGTCACTTTCATTCCTGAATTGATTTGAGCTTCATGCAATTTTGAAATAATAGTTCTGCGTAGACTATGTCTGTGCTGAGTACTGAGAGCTACTGATGTTTTGCCACCTGCAGAAGTCATTATCCTAACTGGGGGCTGAAATGTGAACTATCCAGTAGGGAAAAAAGGAACATTAAAAAAAAAAAAGCAATTTTCTTTTCTTTTTTTACGTACCCTTCCCCCAAAACAGAAGAAATTTTTTTTCAAGCAGATGTTTTTTGAAACCCAGATCTATCAGGTATTGTGAGTTTAACTTTAAGCCAGTGTTAATCTATTGTTCCATTTGGGTTATGTTTAACTGTTCATGGATTTGAGCTGCATACATTTAAGATAAAAGTTAATCTTATGAGAGTCTCAGTATAAAACTTTAAAATACCTCATTTTATTTTGCCTTAACCACTTTTCATGAAAAATAACACCCAACATTTTCTGAAAGTTTTCTAGTAGTTTCTTTCTTCATTTGTTAGTTCGCATGCTCTCTGAACACATTTACTAGGTGCCTACTATGTGAATAACATGCTTACCTTGATAGGCGCATACACACAAATACACCTCTGTAGGCTTACAGTGTATTGAGGGACAAGAATTGTATACCAAGCATGTTACTAGCTACAGCAGTTGGGTAATGCCTATGTGAGTGATACCCATGATTATAACCATAGAGAAAAGAGATCAGTGTGCACTGGGAGAATCTTTCTCTGGATGTCTGATTAAAGGGCAGCTGAAACTTGGCCAGGCAGACAGAAGGTAAGACATTGTAGGCAGGCGCTATGCCCAGAACAAAGGCATGATGTTGGGGACTGGAAGGTACGCCAGTGGGACTGTGATGGCAAGGCGCACACCAAGGAACAGGGTGTAAGAATGTTAGATTAGAAGGTTAGGTTAGCAGATTTAGGGGGACATTTGGGTATTCAATAAAAGTAGATATATGTCATCTTTTAAGTAGAGGAGAAGATTAGGGACTATTCATAAAGATGAAGAATGACCTTGTGAGAGTGGTGTTTAGCAATGATAATCTTAGCCGTGAGTGTGATATGTAGTGGACAAAAAGTTGAAGACAGAAGGAACAGCCATTGCTCTTGTTGCTAGAGGATTAGGTATCAGATCAGGAAATTTTTAATTAAGATTGTGGTATAAGAAACAGAAGAAGCATGAATCTACAGGATCTGTCACTAATAAGTTACAGGAAATTAAGACAGGAAAAGAAAATATTCTGAAACTTAGAGAAGTACAGAACCAGGAACAGGGGAGAGTTTTGGGGGAGATGAGTTTGGGGAGCATATAAGGAGAAATTTAGCGGTTTTATAGGGGCTGGGGGAATGGAGCCATCAGGAGTGACAATTAAAAGGTATGGGGTTTCTTTAGGGTGTTATAAAAATGTTCTAAAGTTGATAGTGGTGTTGATTGTGCTAAAAGCCATTGGGTTTTTCACTTTAAATGAATGAATTGTAAGGTATGGGAATTATATCACAATAAAGCTGTTAGAAAAGAGAAAAAGAAGAAATAAAATATGCTTTGGGAGCATATGAGAGAGAAGAAAAATAATGGTTAACCAGTTAGATGTCAGGGATGAACAATTGTGGATCATGTTCATAAGAGCAGTAGAGGAAGCTGTGAGTGGTTGTGAGGAGAGAGAAAAAAGCAGAGGTCTGAACTGGGTAATTCCACAGTTCAAGACTGCAGCAGGAAGGGGAATGGTTAGAGGTAGGGTTTTCCTACAGAGTGTTTATCAATGGTTGTGATTTCACCTATCTTATCTTAATCAGGAAAACTAATTCAATGGAATTTAGAGATGTGGCGTGAAGCATTGGCCATGCTATTAAACTCGCCAAAGGTGGTTGATTTTTGATACAGTATGGCTCTATTTCAAATTAAAGAATAGAGCTATAGTATTCTTATTAGCAAAGACATAGACATAACATACAAGTTCTGCTTTATGCTCTTGCCTTGCAGACTGAAGTAATTGAATGGGTCACTGAGGATGAAAACTGAACAAATCTCATGCTAAATTATGCAGTCATGGGGGAAGCTGGTCCTTTGTTTCATTGACTGCTCAATTACTAAATTGTGGGACTCTTTCATCCAGAATATCACTTTCTCACTTTAATGTGAAATAAAAACATTTATGCAGTTGAAACTATATTATTAAAATGTAAAAATGTTGAGATTCTTGCTACTAATGGAAAACATAAAATTTCCAAGAAACAAGGCTTTATGGTGAGTTCCTATCCCAGACACACACCTCAGCTGGAGTAGAGCTCTGATGGTAAAAAACTATGTCAACTATGTTAACATTAATGTCAGATTTTGGGGGGGGAATGATTATGCTTTTATAATGCTTCTTTTTGTTATTTCAGGGAAGGAGATTACGGCAGAAACGTTTATGGAGAAATTGGACAATGGTGCCTTACTCTGTCAACTTGCAGAAACTGTTCAGGAGAAATTCAAAGAGAGTATGGATGCTAATAAGCCCACCAAGGTAAAAGATCCCAAGGCAAAATAACTATCAGTAGGTGGATTACACCTGTCGCTGCTTATGAATTGAATTGAATTTGAGCATTTTTGTTGAGAATGAATGCATTACCATCTCTATTAACAACGAAGCACAGAGGGTGCTTTTTAATTAGGTAACATGTTATTCTCCAATTATATAAATTACATAATCTTTTTGGTAAGTCTAATTTAATAAAAGTTTATAGAAATTGATGGTATTAATATAAAATAAGTACTGTATATAAACTGGCTGAATCTGATGTACTGATGAAAAATTTAGCAGAGAAATAATTTATGTCATCAGGTAATGAAAAAACATCTAGCCAAGAGAGATTTAAGTAATAGATGTTTGTTTCCAAAGAAATCATTAGGGCAGAATATTGGAACAGAATGTCTGGAGTGTGTAATTTTTTGTTTGTTTCAATAGGTAGTAGTATTAAATTAAGTAACTTGGGACAAATTATTTTCCTTAAGGCTGCTCAGGTTTCGGACATTAGTTCTAATACTCGTTTCTATTTACTGTAAAAACATAGTAAAAGTGTGATGTTTGATATACTTTGAAGTAGACAGATAATACTTTTATTAATTTTTAATAGAGAGGAAAAAAGGTAATAAAAAAGTAAAGTTGAAATAATGTTGAAGTCAGCTTAAAATAAAAATAAAAAAAACTGTTAAACTTTCTGCAGCTTTGGCAAACAGACTAAAATTGATTATTTATGTATACGTTCTTTATGACTACTGAACCAACATCCAAATAGAAGATTAAGCTTCCTAAAACACTGTTTCTTTTTACAGCACTGTACTTAGTTTGTGGATAATGTTTTATATCACTTTGTAAAGTACTTGTAATATAAAAGCCCCTTCATTTTTTCATCTTAAAAGCAGCTCTGTGCAAGTATTAATTTAGTGGCTGCACATTGGACTCATCTGAGTATTTTTTAAAACTACTGATCCCTGGCTAGGGAGCAACCTGGCATGTCGAAAAAGCCCCTCAGGTGAGTGTAATGTTCAGCAAAGTTTGGGACCCACTGCATTCACTGGTTTTCCACCATTGGTTAGATGCAGGCTAATTGATTTGTGCAAGATGAATAACAGATTCACTGAAACCCACATAGTTAGCTTTACATTGAACTATTTCCCACAGAAGAAAAGAATGCTTTCAAACTGAGTACAAATAACCTGGGGGATACAATATTAAGTCTGGGTGTGTGTGTATAATTATTTTCCTCCTTGATATTTTGAAATTTAGGGACAGTGAAGGCAAAGATAGATGAGCTGGTCGATGCCTCCTCTGAATCAGTGAAACTGTGTTTTGTGTAGGGAGAGGTTAAAACAGAATTTTAAAGAAATCAACAACAAACTTGATCCCATCTGAATTCATATCATAGGAAGCCCTTCGTCATTTTCTCTTAGCACGTTAAATCTTGTGTCCTCATTCTTGTAGCAATATTTTTAGTTTTTTTTTGATTGATAGTTAATTTAGGGATTTTACAGCTGTGTAAACACATTTGAGTGAGTAAGCTATGCTTGGTATGTGTGAAGTATGTCTGTGTTAAGGATGATTTAAACCTTCTTTAATATTTAAAGAAAATTTAATACACATGTGAGATAGTTTACATATTTAATATTTTAGTTATAAATTCATGACTGTTATATTTTATTCTGGCTTGATAAAATACCCTACGTGAGAATAAATTATATTCTATGAATTTTTTTTCTTTTTGGGTATCAACAGGTCAATAGGAAAAAATATATCCTATGTTTGTTAACTATAGGTACTAATCTTACCTTTGAATTTTCTTACTACGCATGGAAACATTGCAGAGATACCACGGAATTAAGCAGTAGTGGGGTAGAAGCACTTAAGTTAGTGTGCAGCAATTGAATTTAAATTAATTTAAATTAATTTACGTATCATAATATGATCAATTCACTATCTTTGTAAATTTTAACATTCCTGGGGCTGAGGAGCATTAATTAATGACAAAAATCTAAACAAAACTAATCTTTCTAATATCCTTTCAGGATGAGAGGACCAAAACAAGTGATAAATCCAAGGTTAGGTTTTATGCCTTATGACTCTTAATTACCTGCCTCAAAGTTGGCATCTCCCATCAAGACAATAATTGTTATATTGCTATATGAACTTTCACTTCCTGGTCTAGATAAAGTTCAACTGTATGAACACCTTCATAGTGTATATTTACTCTGTTCTTTTTCTACCAGTCATGACTTGATATTTGTGCAAGATCCTCTCAATTACTAAGGCATCAACATGGTGCAAGATACCCAAAGTATTCACCCTCTTTTTCTCCAAACATTGCTTTCTGTTTGTCTCACTTATGACTACTTGAGTCATAACTCAAGATGACTTATCTTGAGAGTCTTGGCCCCAGAATTAAGAGTGTCCCTGGGTTCAGAGCTTTTTTTATTTTATTTTATTTTTTTCCTTCAAAGAGCACTGGGTAGTTAGATGAGGTTTGAAGCACGTGAAGGGGAAAGGGGAAAAAAAATAGTTCTGCTACCTAGTAGAATGCCACATTATGCTCTAAGGAAGGAACTGAGCATTCACCATCTAAATGTAGAATCCGGTCCTTGTTTGGCTGAAAGAACATCCTAGTCAGATAGAATGCCCATAGCACTTTTGTCCATCAAGAATACCTAGTTCTCCATGCTATGAGAGAACAATAACTCAGGATGTTGTACCATCCAGGAATTAAATTAAAGACAAAAAGATTAGAGTTTTTCCCTTTAAAAATCAATATTATGTTTGTTCAGAGAACATCTTGTCAAGATTGAATTCAGAGAAATCTAGAAATTTGTGTTTTTTGCTGATATCTCTGGCAGAATAAGAAAGTATGGTAAAGTGATAAAAATTTTTTCTTGAAAAGATCTCAGCTGCAGTTAACTTAGAGTTATCCATATCTGACTATCCAATTAAAATAATTGTATATTCCTCAAGAAATTTGTGATTTTGAGATGCAAATATAATGCTATGATTAAGTCAACAGAATGAATTAGGATAAGGGAATATAGGTGTAATGATGTAGAGATAGATGATCTTTTTTGATAAGTTATTTTGTTGCCTGGAGCTTAGGGGAAAATAAAAAAAGAGAGAGGGAAGTTAATTATAAATTCAATACCTTGGGATTTAAAATGGATTTAAAATAAGTATAAATATCTTTCAGTTTTAAATATATTAAATTACTTCCCAGTGTAAAATTAAATTCTCTTGTCACCATTTATCTAATTCCCTGACCACCTGGAAAATTTTTCATCTCTAGATCAAGGATAATGAAATACCTTGCTTGATGTTTTTCTCATTGGGAGTTTTCTATACCATCTCTTTCCTTAAAAAAAAAAAAATTCTTGATTTTAGAGACAGAGGAAGGAAGGGAAGAAGGGAAGAAGGGAAGAAGGGAATGAGGAAGGGAGGGAAGCAGGGAGGGACAGAGATAGAGAGAAAAAGAAACATTCCAGAGAGAGAGAAAGAGAGAAACATTGCTCTATTGTTCCACTTATTTATGTATTAATTGGTTGATTCCTGTGTGTGCCCTGATCAGGGATTGAACTCACAACCTTCGTATATCTGGATGACACTCTAACCAACCGAACTACCTGGCCAGGGTGTTCTACCATCTAAAAGGGCTATGCCGAACTGGGCTCAGTGCTATAGTAGTAAATGTTAGTGCATCATGTAGATTGATATGAAAATAAGCTTGACTTTTTTTTTCCCTGCCCCTAGTGAACTAGTAACATGGGACTTGATATGAGCTAAGTGTATAGGCTAAGATAGAAAAGGAGCAGTGTGAAAAAGTAGGTACAATAGGGAGGGCATGATGTACTTACTGAATTTACCTGGATCTTCAGGCCTAACTCAATTCACCCATATTTAACACTTCTTCTTGATGACAGCATATAGCTGGGCACAACAAAAAATGTGGGCAAATTGATTATCTAGCACTTAGCTCATGATAAACAGCTCAGATGTCATGGTCACTGGTATCCCGAGATGGAGATTCAGCCTCCCTCAAACAACAGCAGCAAGCTGGGAAGGTTTTCATGATGACCTCTACAAAGAAGGCAATAGTCCTACATAGCTGCTACTACTGAGCCAGAAACTTCATTTAGTTGGCAAAAGCCCCGTCTGGGATTCTCATGGGATTCATCTTCTACCTTCTGGAATGCATCTCTATTACGAAACTATCTAGTTTGTCTACTGCTCCTGCTTTTCAATATCAAATCAGCAAAATATTCTGATACAGAAGAGTTTAATGTCTTGTGGGATGTCAAAATGCCCATTGTCCCTATGGTTTATGTCACAGAGTAGGAGCTGATATGCAAGACAGGAAAAGAGCTGTTATTTTTGTCAAGTGTATGCAAACTGCTTCTTGAGTTTTCTGTTGATGAGGATTAAGGAAATTACATTTTCCATATAGATAGATGCATGCCAAGTACCAAGATACTTAATAATATATTGTATTTTGCCATGTATAATGCCCATGTCTTTGCCCAAAATTTTGAGGAAGAAAATAAGAATGTGCATTATATATGGGTAGTACTAATTTCATATCTACAGAAATGTTTTTAATTCTTTTATTTATGCTTTTGCATTAAAAATGTAACTCTAGACAGCAATAATGATATCCATATGCAAAATAATTCCCTGAAATGTGATAATTGGTTTTGTTTCTAAGTTTAAATAAGTAAATAATTGAGTTAAAACATTAAAACGAAAGATTTTTTTCCCTGAAAGTTTCAGCCAAAAACATGGGTGCGCATTATACACGGCAAAATATGGTACGTCAGTGAAAAGGCATCAATCTGGAATAGCAACTCTGATGAAGCTGTCATTTCATTTTAATTTTTCTGCTGTTCTCCACATCCCATCCATCTTTTATATTCGTTTAAGTTGAGCTGAGATGTGATAGAAATTATTTTCTTTGCAATGTTTGGTTCATTGATAGTAGAATGAAGCTATGACTT